GTTAGGGCTAACCCAAAACCGCCAGGGCTAGCCCGTTTAACATCTCTAACTACTGTTGAGTTCTTTTGAGCTGGGCCAAAACATATATTGGGCCAAATTATACCGGGTACATTATACCCATGGGTTAACGGGTATGGGGGTAGGGGGAACGGACCCATCCCTGCTAGACCCGATGGGGGGACTTTTTCCCCATTAACAGATCCATGGGGCCAAATTTTAGCCATACCCGGCTCCTAATGGGGTTTTTACCCATCGGGTTTTGGGTTTCGGGGCCCCATTGCCATCCCTAGGTTCATGCCATTTGGATCTGCCAAGTTAAGTCTTATTGGGCTATTGAGCCCAACTAGTGAGACTCTTTGAACGGTCAGGCCCATTATCTTCGGGTAGTGTTATTTCCATCCTCAAAATCCGGATTACAAAACCCCGCACTGCAACTGCCCTTGCACAAAAGCTCACCCGCCCAAAGAGGGAGACACAGAATTTCGCCCTGCCGGAAATGCTTACTTACAGTGTATGTATGTTGCTGTTATCTGTTCATGGTGGATAATTTTGCAGCTGCAGTTTGATGTATTATGGTTTGTACCTTTTGCAGTTCCATCAGTACCAGGTGGTGGAGAGAGCTCTGCCGGCGACGAAGGAGCATCCGAAAATCTTCCGAATGAAGCTATGTGAGGAGCCTAAGTTCTGGTATGATACACTCTTTTGTGTTTGCTTGCACACTTCAAGTCTTGTTGAGTTGAGCTTATATTATTCGGAGATTTTCAAATCCAATTTTCTGTGGCAGAGCAAGGAAAATAGGATTATTCCTCTTGATAAACTTTATTTGGTGCATGATTTGCTCTTTTGATGTAAAAAAAGTAGTGTTTAATGACACCGAGATGTTTTATTTGCTAGAATTCCTTCGAAATGGCTATGCAGTGAGGGAAGGGAGAAATCGAAAAATTTAGATGATTGATTGATGTGGAGGCATATTGCTGAATGTTACGTCGTGTTCTTGCCGTCAATGGATCGAAATTATATTTCTGCGAAAATTGGAACGACTGTCCATTAGTATTATAAGTGGTACATAACTAGAGTTATTTGTTTGTTAGCCAACAAGTACAAAATTTTATGAGTTCCACTTCCCTCGTATATGCTAATGTTTTGTTTTTTTTATCCTTTTCTTCTTCCTCCGATCTTCATTTTTTTTTT